CCTTTGGGTCCGGGGCGCGTGCCAGCATGTCCATCTCTGCCCGCGCCGGGCTTCAGGGAGGACGATGGGCGCCGGGCTTCACCGTTGTCGTCCCGCTTTTCAGGCTGCTTGGGTTGCACCGAGGTAAGGACGCCTATTCAGAATAGGGCCTCCCGGGCTCCGGGCCAGTGTACCATATTGACGGGGAAGCCGACTTCCGGCGGAGTCTGTACACATATGGTAATCTACATTCAGGGGAGAGAGAGAGAGAGGGGGGGGGGGGGAGTCTGTGATCCCATGTGCGATCTATGAGAGTCACACGAGCCAGGGTCAGCGCATCGGCCAGGAGACGCCCGATGTCTGAGAGGAACAAGGAAGGGGGGCTGATGGCCGGCGGGGAGAGGGGGAGCCAGCATGATGATGGGCACTACTCGGAACCCACCTCCAACTTGGCAGTAGCAGTAGCAGCGGCAGCAGCATCAACCGGCGCGCGGAACTTGCTCCCCACTGCCTCGGACACAGACTCGAAGCCCTTCTCGCGGAGAATCACTATGTCGAGGGGATGAAGAGAGACAGGGGGGAGGGGGGGAGGAGGAGGGAGGCTTAGTGAATTGCGGCTATCCGCCGGATCGAGAAAAGGAACACATACCAACAAGGTCGTCCTTGATGCGGGAAACCACACGCGGGCCATCCAGCACGAGGGACGAATAGAGCTGGACAAAAGAGGCGCCGTGGGCAATCTTCTCAAAGGCGTCCATGCCACTGGAAACACCGCCACAACCCACGAGAGGGATGGCTGAGGAGAAGGATCCGGCAGAGGTAGGGGGAGGGAGGGGGGAAGAGCGTAAGTGGCATGATGGCCGGAGAGGCGGCTGGCGCTGTGTCGGGCAGGGGGGAAGGGGCCAGGGGCCGAGGCGAAGAGAGGACGTACCACCACCAGTCAGCTGGTAGACCTGGCCCAGCATCTCGGTGGAGCGATCGAAAAGCGGCTGGCCACTGAGGCCACCGGCCTCCGACGCGTCGCTCGAGGTGAGGTGCTCCGGACGGGAAACTGGGGCAAGGGGAGTAGATAGGAGGGGGAGGGGAGGGGGAGAGAGAGTGAGAGAGAGAGAGAGAGAGAGAGAACAGAAGCAGCCAATACACCCGGCGGTGGGCCCATGACCGGCCAGGAGAGGGGCGAGAAAACAGGACGGCACACGCACTGGTGGTGTTGGAGACGATCATCCCGTCGATGGACAGCTCCATTGCCAGGGAGCAAATGTCCTTGAGCTGCTCGGCGCTGAGATCGGGCGAGATCTTCAGGAAGATAGGGGTCTTGAGGCCGGCCTCAGTGCTGGCGTGCATCGAGAACGGAGTCAGCTCGCAGGAGACCGGCCAAGTGCCGACAACGGAAATGGCGAGGAAAGGGGTGAAGGACGCACCGCGCCGCCTGGGACGACTGGATGATCTTGCGCAGAGCAGCCGAGTGCTGGAGATCGCGCAGCCCCGGGGTATTGGGCGAGGAGACATTGATGACATAGTAATCGGCCAAGTCGCCGAAGGTGGAGATCCCTCGGGCATAGGCGGCCGGGGCCTCCTGCTCGGTGGTAGTCTTGTTGATGCCGAGATTGACGCCGATAACCGTCGGCTGCACCTCGCTGACGGGTGGAAAGGGGGAGCCCGAGGAACAGAGGGTGGGAGGCGAAAGGAGGCAAGGTCAATGGGAGCAGGGGATGGGGGGGGGGGGGGGCATGTCCATTGCTGTAGGGCCCAGCGAAGGCCCGGAGCACCGGAAACAACGACCTACCCATGCTTTTGGCGCTGCTGGCGCAGGGACTCCGAGACCGCGGTGAAGCCGGCGCTATTGAACCCGAACCGGTTGACGATGGCTCGATCGGCCTCCAGACGGAAGAGACGCGGCAGGGGGTTGCCCGGCTGTGGCTCCGGGGTCACGGTGCCGACCTCCACGGCGCCGAACCCCACGCGCGCCAGATTGAAGGGAGCCACGCAGTCCTTGTCGAAGCCGGCGGCCAGGCCGATTGGGCTGGCCATGCGCAGCGAGCACAGCTGCGTCTCCAGCGACCGATCGCGATAGTCCTTGAGCAGGGGCTCGGCAAATTCGCTGATGCCCTCGGGGGTCCGGTACACGCCGGCCGGCATACGCCGATCCACCGGGACCAGGCCCCGGGCGGCCGCCTTCAGGGCCAGGTTGTGGGCGGTCTCCGGGTCGAACATCTTCAAGACCCCGGTCGCCAGACCATTGAAGGGCTGGCTCGCGCGCGCGTGTGTGCGTGTGTGTGTGTGTGTGTGCATGTGTTTGCGTGTTTGCGGACGCCTTTAGTGTGAGTAGAGGGGAGCGCAGGGCGGCGGCAGCAGCAGGAGACCCAGGCGCCACCGGGAGCGCCAGGCTGGCCAAGGCACGCACCCAGTGGCGGACCTCGTTGAAGGAGGAGCCCACGAAGAGGAAGGACGCCGTGAGGGCGGACATCCCGATGATAATGCGCGAGTGTGTGGACATTATCGGAGTTGAGAAGCCCAGCAAGCCGGATAGGAGGAAAAAAGGAAAGAGCGGGTAGGGGGGCGAGACAGGCAAGGAGGGAGGGCGGGAGAGGCAGGGAGGGAGGGCAGTTGGAAGCCACCCAACACCAGGCGCTGGCGGTGCGGGGGCTCTTAACCTGGTCCATGTCAGGTGATATTCAGAGGGCGCCAGTTTCCAACACTCGCCGCCGGAGAAAAGCAACTGCTTTTAGGCCCCAAGGTTCGGCCGCTCATCCCCATTGCACCAGCAGCCCTGAGCTTCACATCCCAAAGATGCAATTTTCGCCTTTTACTAGAATTGCCTTGATGCGAGGTTCGCTCAACTGGGCCTAGACGAATTTTTGGAGCCTTCTGGTTCACCACACCATCTTTTCTTCTTTCCCTCTCTTTTAATAATCGAACTCTCCCCTCCGCACGGCGGGGGGTTCCGTCGGCAGGTCGCCAAGCGTGTGTGCTGCTGGTGATGGGGGGGCGCGGGCGGGCTGCCGTGTCGCCGATTGCCTGCGCGCACGCATGTCGTCCCCAGCTGCCTGTGACTGGACGGGGGGGGGGGGGAGAAACCACTCGCGGGCATAATCGGAGGGAGAGGGGCCCAGGGCCAGAAGCCTGGCGTTGAGCCGACCTCGATCGCACGCGCACGCCCCGCCACCGAAAGCGGATCTTGCGCCCAACATTGAGCAGGGCGAGGGGGGGGGGGGGGGGGGGGGGGGGTGGGAATGGGAAAAGCAGCTGCGGTCCAACGGGCCATGTCCAAGTCAAACTGCAGCCTGGGGCCTGCCTGTTTTTTTGGGGACCGGACGCGGCCTCCGCTGTCCGGCTGACCCCGGACATCCATAGCCTATCCTCCCCTCCCAGAGCATGCCCTGCCCGCCCCTACCTGGTACCCGCACTTCCCCTTTGCAAGCCTGAGAGTGTGAGAAAGCGCGGTGACGCGAGAAACCACGCGCGTGTGTGGGAGACAGAAAGAAAAAGGCGGCCAGACTATCCAGCCATGGCTGAGGCCTTGTACGATGCCATCCACGGCGCACTCTGCGAGCAGATCGGCCAAACAGCCGAGCAGCCTGACGTCGGGTCCGACGACTGGCTCGTGGCTCTGGCCTCGGGCTTCCCCGTGGCGCCGCTCCTGTGTCGACTGCTGTTGAGCCCGCCCCCAAGCAAGGCCGGACGCCATGGGCCGGATCTGATTCTGGTATGCAGTGCGGGGGCCGGGCCCGGATCCGGGGCCGGGGGCACCCCCGACGCCGGGGACGCCCTGTCCTCGGCCACCGCTAGCCTGGCGCTTCTGGGGGCCGGGGCGCCGCGCATTGTCTCCGAGGCGGTCAAGCCCTCTGCCCGGCAGGATTTGTATGCGGCTCACCCGGAGGATGGAGTCCCGGCCGTGGCGGCCACCGCGCGCGTTCTCATCTCCGACATGCTTTCCAACCGGGTGGACTTTTCCCGAGTCCGCCGGGCCCTCATCCTCCTGCCAGCGCGCCTGACCGACCGCGGAGGAAACCCCGGCGCCGGTGGGAGTGCCAACAGCCCTGACGACGGGCCCGCCGGGCCGCGAGGCTTCGGCGACTCCGATGGCCTGGCCCCGACCGACGCCCTGGCGGTGACCCTGCTCAAGGGCCGCGTGCCGCTGCTCTTCCTGGCAGCGCACCCGCTGGCCTTACCGCGCCTGGCCATCTCCCTGGTCGGGCCGAACATCAGCCTCTGGCCGCGATTTCGCCAGGAGGTGCAGCACCTTCTGGACGGGGAGTCGGACCACCCGGACGGCTCGACCCCGGCCGCACCGGTGTCCGAATGTCTAGTGAGCCCCCTTCGCGGAGCGGCCACCGCACAGGCTCACCTCCTGGAGCTCCTGGCCTCCTCGATCCGGGAAGTTCAATCACGCGCCGGGCGCTCCTTCGTGCGTGCCCCTCCCCGTCCCTCCCTCCGACCTCCAACTCCCGCTCCTGTCCATTCGCTCCCCCACGGCCCTGATGCATGGCCCGCCTGACATGCCACGACCCACAAGTCCGCCAGCCAGCTTGCAATTGGCACGGTTTTCGAGCGGACCTTCGAGCGTACCCTGCGTCGAGTTGAACGCGAGATGGGCCTGCCGATGGGCCGCATGCGTGAGTTTGCCGCCCGGGATCAAACCGGCAAGGATGGCCTCGTGCAATTGATCGACGGCTTGCGCCTGCTCCGACGTCTCCTCTTGTGCGTCCTCACATGGCGCCCGGCGTTGGGCGGAGAGCCCAAAAGTATTCCCTCCCCCCCCGCCCTCTCGCCCTCCCCCCGATGCGCTCCTGACCCATGTAGCCCCTCGACACAGCCAACTTCACTCGGAGGATGCGGTCACCGTGTACAGCCACATGCAGGATATGATCGCGACGGGCCCCTCATGGACCCTTTCCCCTGCCTTTGAGCCCCTTTTCCAAGCCCTCCGGGCGCGGGTGTACCTGCCGGCATCCGGCGCCCTGGACACTCCGGACCAGGCAACTGGCCCCTACCAGCCCGCCTCGCCCGCCGGAACGCCGGAGCACAGCGAAGTCGCCGCCCTGCTGGCGGCCGGGCTGCGCCCAGCCTTCGAGGTGGATCCCCGCTGGGCGGCCCTCCGGGCGCTGCTTGCCGCCGCCCAATCCCAGCCATGCCTGGTGCTGGTGCGGAGCCGACGCACGGCCATGCAGCTGTATCGCCTGCTCCAGCGCGACCGGATGGCCGATGCGTCCCGGGGATCGGTGCACCCGGCCGACCTTCGGGAGCTCGAGCAAGCCTGGCTCCGCTATTGCCAGCGCCGGCGCCTCCACGGGCAGTCGGTGGTGTCAGACGTGGCCCGGGCGTCGAGTCCCGGGGCGACGCCCTCACCAGGCCCGACAAAGCGCCCTCGCTTCGAGACCCCGGCTCAGCGCTTTCGCAGCCGGGCTGCCGCGGCATCGGCCAGCAAGTCGCCCGAGTCCCCCGCCTCGGGCCCGAGCACGTCTGTCGAGACGCCAGCCACGCCGGGGCCTTCGGGAGGTGGCACTCCGATGACACCGGGCGATGATGCATCTTCCGGGCCGGTTGTCTGGCTGGATGACGAAGATTCGCCTGGCACCGGCGGGGATGATGGCGGCATCCTGCACATCGACTATACGTACTTCGCCCTGGTGGATGCCAGCCGGCCGACGGTCAGCTTTGTGGCCATGCTGGACACCACGCCGGAGGCCTTTTATGAGTACCTCCTGTCGACCACGGCCGGCGGCGGGCCCCATGTCATTCTGTATGATGTGGAGCTGGCCTTCCTGCGAGTGGTGGAGCTGGTGGCCGCCGGGGCCCGGGGCCCGCAGCAGCCGGCCGCCCTTTCCGGTGTCAGTTTGATCAATGTCCAAAACTCGGCCCTCGAACAGCAGTACCTCTCCGCCCTCAAGGTGGAACATGCGGCCTTCAGTCGGCTGATTGCCCGACGGACGACGGCCCCGTCCCCGGCTGCCCGGCCGCTGCTGCCATTGTACGGCGATTCGAGCGCACCTGCCGCCAGGGTGGGCCTCCTGCGATCCGGCCCGACCATCGATCCGGCGGTGGCCCTCCTGCAGCCGGAGCGTCTGGCATTCGCCGGTGAAATGCCGGCCTCCCGATACACCGGCCTGCCGGCTGGTGGCCATGGTGGCTCTCGGGAAGTGGGCCCAGGCCCGCGCACGGTCATCATCGATGTGCGCGAGCTTCGGGCCACCCTGCCACGAGCCCTGCTCGAGGCCGGCATGGCCCTGCGGCCGATGCAGCTCCGTGAGGCCGATTACATTCTCGGCCCGGGGTTTGGAATCGAGCGCAAGGCGCCGGCGGATCTGCGGCAGTCCATCCAGGGAGGCCGGCTGGCGGCCCAGCTGACACGCATGGTGCGCGCCTTTCCCGAGGGAACCTTCCTTTTGTTGGAGGTCGGCCCGCGAGGCGGCGCTGGCCGGGTCACAACATGGGTGCTGGATCGGCTGGTGGAGATCCTGGTGCACCTGTCGCGGCCCTTGGTGCTGGCCTCCGGTCGTCGGACGCACCCCGTGCGGCTGGTGTGGTCGCGGTCGGATCGCCATGCGGCGGAGCTTTTTGCCTACTTGAAGAGCCGCGTCCGAGAGCCGGATCCCAATCGGGATGTCCCGGATCTCGAACGCCTGGATGGGCAGGTATCTCGGGCCGCCGATCAGACAGGAGAAGAGGAGGAGCTGGACCGGGAGGGGCTGCAGCAGCGCCAGCAACAGGAGGAGGCGGAGGAGCAACAGGCGACAGGAAATGCCCAACGGCCGCCGGGTGTCCCCGGGGCGGGTGCCGCAGATCGGCAGGGCTCCCAGCAGCCGCCTGTGGCGCCCGGGCGGTGGATTCCAAACCAGGCCGCACAAACACGCTACCGCCTGCTTTTCCCAGGTCAGCCGATCCCGCCGGCCCCCAGCCTCCCGGGTGATATGGTCACAACCATTCGGAATATTGTTCTTGAATAGAGTGAGAATGCTGTTGCTTTGGGCATGCGACCCTTCCACCTCGGCGGGGGTTCGGAGACCCTGGGCTTGGGTTGTCTGGATGGCGGAGGGGGGGCGGGGGGCCTTTGTCGAGCTTAAGCCGGATAAAGAATGTCTGGGCATATACATGTATCTGTGCGTATGTGCGCGTGTGCAAGAGAGCACAAGCTTGTCCCCGCAAGGGAGTCGAGCAGTGGGGACAGCAAACAGCAACTCCCGAGCACAGGCCGAGGTCCCAGGACACAGCCCCGCGGGGCACCTAAACCCGGGCTGGGTTTCGGGAGAGAGATCGATCATTAAGGCTCGAGGTACAGAGCCACCTGAGGCATTCCCCCCCTCTCCCAGTTTCCGGCTGGGGAGGGAGCGCGGCGTTCTCGCGCGCCCTCGGCAGGGGGGGGGGCAGAATAACCGGACTTGGCCGTTTCTCCGCAGCCCCGCCTCGGCGCCTCTCCCAGAGCCAAGAGCGAGCGTGGCCCACGGCGGAGCTCTGGGCTAGGGTTCAGGAAGGGGGGGGGGGGGGCAGGGGCTGCGCGTGGCTATATGTGTGCCGGTGTTGTAAGGCGGTCGGTGCGCGAATGCAGGCGGCCGCGGGGGGGCTGGCCCGTGTTCGGGGCAAGTCTACCCTGGGCCGGGGCAGCGGATGCCGGCGGGCGAGGGGGAGGGGGGGAGCGATTGCTGGCGTCTCTGTTGTCCTCGCGGGCCTGGGGGGCGTATGTTTTCCCGAAGCCTGCATGGCAAGCAGTGCGCAGCCCGGCTGCGCCAATCCCCGTGGCGTGTGAGGGGTGCAGGTGCCCGGCGACGCCCTGCCACCTTTTCCCAGGTCTTCGCCCCGCATCCGGGTGCCCATGCTGCCGGAGTGGGCGCGCCTCTGCCTCGGTCCCCTGGCCCGAACCTGGAGGCGGGGGGGGGGGGAGCGGCCATGTGAGGCTGGCGCGCGCTGCTGCCCCCCACCCAGGACGAGAGGGTGGTGGGGCCGCACGCGAGGGGACCAGTCTCCGTGCCCTGTCGGTCCTGTGGCACAAGACCACACCCGTCCCCCGGCTGCGGTTCTCTGGGGGGGAGGACCGCACGGGGCCGTCCTGGGGCGGAGGTCGTGCTCCCGGCGCCGATGCGCGTGTGTTCCGGTAGTGCGCGCGCACGAGCCGACTCAGGCGGCCCCCTCTGCTTTCGTTCTC